AAAGAAACGGCCATGTGTCTGACTGAGCTGCTAGAAAAAGCCAGCCCGAGTTTCAAACTGCTAAAACGCAGTTTCAAATGCAATTTAAACTCGGACCCTGACTAAACTGCTAAAACACAGTTTCAAATGCAATTACAAACTGTAACCCTAAGTGCGCCGTAGTTTGCTCTATATTTTAATTTGGCTGCATGGGCCAAATCAAAACGTACGTCTCTCAAATCTGGCATTAGTGGATATTTGAATGGCGAATGGTAGTTAACTACTTCTCCAAACGCGTCTTCGACAGGAGCTTTCAACGAACCCATTGTTGAGACCGGGACGTCCAGACAACATATCCAGAAGGTCTTTTGGGATATAGCTTCCCTCCATTCATGGAGCTGCTGTTTAGACATCCACGGGCGAAAGTTCACTCTGTGGACCTCGTTATCCAGATTAATTCAGTCCACTTTATTTATCAACATCCACTCCACTATTTGTTTCGCCGAGGCAACATATGTGACTAGATTGCGGCCTTCATTTCCAAACAGGCCGCGTTTTGACCGGGCGCCCGTGGCTCCGGACGTTGTCCACCCATTATCGTAAAGTCGAACTGCAAGGAACCTGACTGTTCACAATTGCTGGAGTGTTCAATTGTCATGCACTTTCGTCATCACACAGATAGGATAGCTTCATACAAAGCCAACGTGGAGATGAGATAGGAACCAGAAAACGCAACTCATATTATTAAAGTCTTATTATACAAGAGTATCTTGAGTTCAGAGATCAACGCCAACAAACTGCAAGTCTTCTTCTCTCAGTCATCGTCACAGGACCTGGCTCAGCCAGTGTCACCCTTCAACTCACAAGTATGGCGCAAACAGGTATGTATTCACCATATCCCACTTTATAGCCTGTCTTCTCTCTCCCTGTATTCTCTCTCAAGATCTCTGTAGTGGTTCTCTTCTCACTATGCATGCACACTCCTTATCTGCGAGGATCTACTCTTAATGCCTCCCACTGATATCCTACTTCTACTAACCCCACTACTTCTACTTACTACTAACTCAGGTTGGCGCAGCTATGGCTTCCCTGCAGCCAGCGCCCAACTCATCTCCCTTCTGGCGCAACTTCTCCGGCCAGTGCCCCTCCCTGCATTCTAACACACAAGTGCCTCAGCACTTCCAGGCAGCAATGCCAATGGGAATCTGTCTGGTGGGGAGGCTGCGTCGTCCTTTATAGTGTTGGCCTCCCCTTGCGAGGGTTGAATTCAGCCTGTCTTAGGTCCTGTCCCAGTCCCAGCCTCTGTGGAGTGTGTCCTTGTACCTTTTTCTCCACGGTCGGCTGCTGCTGCGGCCTTTAGGCCTGAATTTCGGACTTGGGGCCTGCATCTAGACCCTCCTTCTGACTTAATTCGTGACTGAGACTTTATCCCTTTGACTTCCTTTGGACAGACACATCTACTGCTCGAACAGACACACATTCTGCACGAACAGTCACACATACTGCACGAACAGACACACATACTGCACGTACAGACACATCTCTTGTATGAACAAACATGACTTTCACATCCCCTGGATGAACAGATATGACTCCCATATGCAACTGTTCGTTTAGGGGCACAACTCTGACCTTTGACATTGACTTTTACTTAGTAAGGATGTGACTTTTGACCCAGAGAGCATATCCTTTGATCTGCTTTCACGAGTTGGGGCTCTGGGCGAGTGACCCTATTATGCTAAATTTGCCAAACAAGGTCTGAATCGGGTAAAGGCCCTTTTACTCTCGTCGGCCTAGTTTCGAGGTCCTCTGAGAAAACCTTCATCTATCTATAATACTTATTCCTCTTCTTTCTCTTTCATAAGCAAATACAATATGAGGCGCAGACTCAATTAATTCCTCTCTTGTGAACCAGCGATCTTCACTTGGATCCTAATATGCAAATCTTACTTTATATTGTCACTGGGGTCTGCCTTTGCGTCCTGTTTGGAGAGTGTTTTCAACAACAATCTTATCCACGTCATATTTTCCACCCATATTAGGAGGTATCGCCGATCTGCGACTTGGAAACAACTCATTGGTCACGCAAGGTAAGAGTTTGGAGGCGTGGAATACTGGATACGTATGTAAATGTAGAGGAATTTCAATCCCATAGGAAGGTCCATCTACATCTCCAATCCCATCTAAAACTTGCCAAGGTCCTCTGTAGGTGGGTAGTAACTTCTGAGAGATGTTCTCTTCAGGGACAAACTCCTTAGACTTCACCCATACTAGATCACCTACAGCAAATTGAGAAGGCCTTCTGTGCTTATTTGCCTATTTTATCATCTGATGTTGTGCCTTTATTATATTTTCCTTCACTTTCTCAATATCCTTCTGATACTGTATCGCAAATTCACTTGTTCCTAAGGGAAGCTTATGTACTTGGTCCGGATTCAGGCGGTCAATGGGTCTACGTGGTCGCCATCCCAAATGCAGCTTCATCGAAGTCCTGCATATAGACAGGTGAACAAAGTTATTATAGGCTCTAGCAACTTTGGGCAAATGTTCATCCCAGTCAATCTGGTCGGGACGTGTGTACATACGCAACGTTTGTTGCAGAATCTTGTTCATTTGCTCTGTCTAGCCGTTCGTCTCAGGATGCCTACCTGACGACATAGTCAACTTAGAGTCATAGACGTGCATCAGTTGCTGTCATTGCTCACTGGTGAACCGCGAATCTCTGTCACTCACAATTGTTAAGGGATGCCCATAATATTTCACCCAATGGTTAAAGAATTTTCGGATTACTAATTTCATTTTTGCTTCCACTGGTAACACTACGAATACAGTATACTTACTAAATCTATCAACAATAACCATGACTTGCATTTTTCCATTCCTGCTTTTCACCTTAGTGTCCATAAAGTCAATGGACAAAGTCTCCTGAACTTGTTGGAATTAGCAAAGGCTTTAATAGACCAAGGGGAGATTGAGTGGTGCTCTTATTTCGTTGGCACACTTGACAACCTTGCACATAAACAATGCAATCGGGTTTCATACAAGGCCTGGCATAGAAACGCAAAAGGATTGCGTAAGTCTTTTTCCACCCAAAATGGTCTTAGGTGTCGTGACATTCCTCTAAGATCAAACTCTTGATCTCTTCTACATTCGGAATACAAAGCCTGTCATGCGTATCAGTTTTTTCAAACAATAGTCCCTGTGTAATACGATAGTTAGAAAAATTTTGTGGCATTTTTTATACTCGCTTAATCATTGCACCATAAACAGGATCCGTGGAATACGCATTTCTAATTTTCTCTTGTAGATCGGTGCCTACGTCTAGATATGTTACAATGGCACTGAAGAGGTCAGATATTTGACTTAGCGCGTTAGCAAAAACGTTATACTTACCCTTGACTGACTTTAGCTCGAAATCATATTGATCAATCTCAGCAACCCACCTAGTCAACTTAGTTGTCATCCGGACCTGCGTTTTGAGTCAGCGAAGTGTCTCATGATCTGAGTACACCTTGAAGTGGCGTCCTAAGAGATAGTGTCGCAAGTGATCTAGAGCTTCCCGGAGAGCATACAACTCTCTCTCATACGTAGAAGCGGCGACATTCTCGTTAGGTAGTCGTCGGGACATAAACTCTACAAGCCTCTATCCATTTCCATCATCTTGTTGGAGTACAACGCCTATCCCGTATTGAATCCCACTTCCAAATTGTTTCTTTCTTCAGCAATTTGCGAAGGGGCGCAGCGATTATCGTGAAGTGTCTAACAAACTTCTGATAATAGTTCGCTAGCCCAAGCAACGACCGTACCTCAGTCAAAGTGCGGGGGTTAGGCCAATCCCGAATTGCTGCAATTTTTGTATCCTCCGTTTTGATCCCATCACCGTCAAGTATATGCCCTAGATACAACACTTCACGCTTTGTCCATTCACACTTCTTAGGGTTTATCTTCTTAGGGTTTAACATCATTGTCAAGTACATGCCCTAGATACAACACTTCCGGTTTGATCCCATCACCATCAAGTACATGCCTTAGCACAAGTCGAAGTTGCTCACTATGCTCACTCAAACTCTTACTAAAAATCAAAATATCATCAAAATAAACGACAACAAATTTGTCAAGCCATTCACGAAAAAGCTCATTCATTGTTCTTTGGAGGTTGCACGTGCATTAGTAAGACCAAAGGGCAACACCACGAACTCATAATGCCTGTATTTTGTTCGTAAGACAGTCTTATATTGGTCCTCTGGCTCTACCTCAATCTGATGGTAGCCAGACTTCAGGTCAATCTTAGTGAAGTACTTGCAACCCGGAACTTTATCCAAAAGATCGTCAATATTCGGTAATGGCTCAACATTCGTTACAGTGATTTCATTAAGTCTTCTAAAATCTATACACATGCATACCCCGCCATCTTTCTTCGGTACGAATAACACAGGCGCACCATAGGGCGAGAAACTAGGTTTTATCCACCTCTTTTCTAGCAATTCATCAAGCTGGGTTCGCAGTTCGTCTAATTCTTCCGGCGACATTCGGTATATAGGCCCCTTAGGAATTGAACTTCCTGGTACAATTTCAATGTGATGTTTAATGGGTCGTTCCACCACACCACTTGTGGCCTCTGCCACACCTGCGAATTCCTTCAAAATCCTTTCAATTTCAGGGGATTTTGCCTCTTTTTTAGCTTCATCTTCTTTTACTGGGCGCACATATGCAACAAAAACTTGGTCATATAAGTTATACTTTCCTACATGGCGGGCGAACGAGGGGGCACTCATACAACAATGAGTTAAACTGCTTTCCTTTCCCGATTCATGAAATAGGCGGATTTTCTTTTTCCCACCTTGCGGACTTGGAAGCCAACATTCATGGTCTCTTAACTTTATGTCCGCGTCTGCAACTTCACCTCAATCCATACCTACAAGAATGTCAAAAGGGAGATCATCTTCCACCGAGAGAGTCAGAGAGTGGAGAACGCGTTCCACCTTCCCCCCTCGCTTCGAGCCGGAAATATATCTTGACCCCTTCAACATATCTATCCATCACGGTTATAGTACTATTAGCTAACATACTCATTATGGGTTCATCTAACTGTTTAACCTTTAACACGATATGCAGCTTCTTTAAGCCTCTCTTACTTATACAGCTGCGAGTTGATCCACTATCTATCATTCCTCCAATTCTTATTTTATTTATTTCAAGATCTGCAATTATTAACTGTCCTCTTCGTTTTTTCATCTCAGTCCAGGCTTGGTGACGAGCGGCCAACTCATCACCCATGCCAACGAGGGATCCACCTAGAAAGGTACATACACTTACTACCTTTGGACAGTTAACTAGGTGGGGACTTTCTTCCTCTTCAGTCTCTGCCAGTGGAACCTTCGAATGGGAGGATGTATTTCTTTCTACATCCGAAGTTTCCGTAGAGGCAACAGAGACCTCTACTAACTGTTCCCTTTTAGTATCTTATAGTCTGGACAATAGGGAACAATGTGGTTGGGGTCACCACATTTGAGGCATTGGTCAACAACTTTTCTTTCTTGCCAAACTTTCTTAGTGATTCCCAGTTTTTTCCAAGGCTCCCCTTCGGGCAAGCCTTGATGAGGTGGATATGGTTTGTCCCAGGTACCATACCACGCGCCTCTTCCTCTTCCCCAGGTAGAATATGAACCACGGTCACCTTGCGAGGGACCATTGCCCCTTCCACCTATGTAATAGCTACCTTCGCCACCACCCCTCTGGGTACCGGGTCCTCTTCCACCGCGTCCGCGGCCTCCTCTTCCTCGGCCACGTCCTTGTAACCCTCCCCCGCAGGCTGTAATGGGCGCGTAGCTCCCCTCCTGAGCTACCGGACCGCTGGGTCCTTCCTCAAGATCATAGTCAATTTGGTCATAGGAAAGAGTTTCGACACCTCCTTCTTCAAAGGTCAGAAGGAGGTAACCGTTGTTTTTCCCAGGTATATTCCCCAAGATTGTGCGGTTCTGCCACTTTTTCCCCGCTTGTAGATCTTTCCAATAATGGCAGAAATTAGCTTCAGCTAGGAAGCCAGCATGATCTATAGCGATCTTGCTGAACTTCTCGTAAGTCATCCCTTCTTCTTTTGTGCGGGGACAAAGTTGAGTACGGAGAGGGTCAGGAAGTGCCCTTGCTAAGTTGTTGTGGATTTGGGTAGGAGTTAGCTCATGTTCTGCGCATTGCAAGAGTTCGTTCATCGTTGCTTTGAGTGCAGACACACTATTTCATTTCCGATCTGCGATATTCAGAATAAGCATTTCTTTTCGGCGAGCTAGATTATTATCTTCAAAACGTTATCTGACAGCTTTGAAGAAGTCTTCAATTCTAGTTTGCTGTGAATATGCAATCATAGTGTCGCAGTTAGCTTCTTTTTGCAACGAGATGGCGAAGCTCATCGCATCGCCGGCCATGCACGAAGTAGCCATCAGAACTCTATCCCAATAAGGTATGCGCTGACCGTATACGTAGGATACTACGACCGCAACCCAATGAAGGACGCTCTCCTCTTTCTAGCCAGTGTAAGTCCACGACACTTCAACCTTTATTTTTCGTAGATCGGTGTCTTTATCGTTTCGCAGCACCCTTTTTTTTTTGTCTTCCTCTCCTCCATCTCCGTCTCCATCACCACCTCCTCCGCCTCCTGCGCCACTACCTCGGATGATCTTATCAATTACGGCAGGAGTAAAGGTTTGTGTGATATGGTTATCCAACTTTTGAATATACGACTGAATGTGCAGATCCACATCTTTGACGGACTTCTGCAGAAAGGCGTTCCCGACTCCTTCAAACTCGTATTGGTGCGTTTCTACCTTTTGCAAAGTTCGGTTAATTGCTGCTACATCTTGTTTACTATGTAGGACCGTTTCTGTCAGAAGGGCAAGTTTTTCTTCAGTTGCCGCCTGTTTATCTTTTTGTGCTTGCAACTCTCTTTGCAACCTTGCACCCTCTGATTGCAACTTCTTCCTCTCATAAGGTACTTGCCGCTTTGCTGCTAACATTTTATTATGCAGCTCTGCGCGTTTTTCCTCAAGCATAAGGTCCCTTTCCTTTTGATCTGTAATAGTTGTCAGTCTTGCAACGAACACGTCCCTCTCTTCCTCTGTTTCCTCAAGCCTATCGCTGGAATATGCATACTGGTCGTACCAGTCTAGCGGTTTGACATCAAGTTCACCAGCTGTCTGGCTTGTCTCACCTCTTTCCGTCCGCCGCCAGATGTTGTCCTCGTTAGGTTCAACTTCTTCTATAGTCTGCAATTATTCTTTCAACTCTTTCTCCAATTTCTCTTTCCTTTCTTTGCTCATTCTTTCTTCTTCCATTTGCATTTTCTTCTTTATTTCCTCCTCTTTCTGTTTTTTTTTTTTTTTTTTTTTTTTTTTTTTTTTTTTTTTAATGCCTAACGGCGATCCACTTCAGCCTGCTCTGCAATTGTAAGCCCTGGCTTTGTACCTCCGGATCTCAACATCATACGGGAGGTGCATACTCTCCCTAAGCCCAGGGGAAAGAAAACTCGGAACAAGGGACCCATCAGAAAAGAGAAGGCCAACAACCCTTGCATGGGGTAGTCGTCCATGATGGGGTGCAGCACGAGTACCCCTCCGCTGTCCCACCACGTAAGAACTCCCCTCCTAGCCTACTTGTTTGACACGTGGATGGGATATGTTCTGTTTTTTTTTTTTCCAAACTTTTGGATGCCACTGCTTTAACAATAACGAATTTCAAAACTTTCAAAAACTTTTAATATTCAATAAGACTTTTTTTTTTTTGTCGGTCTTTAACTTCGGATATTGAACTGATTAGAATAGATACTTCACTTGATCTTAGCCAAAAGTCCACCTGGTTTGTTTTAACTGTTGTCTAATTGTGAATGTTTATCTTTTTTCTTTTATCTTCTTTACTAACCCTGTTTGTTTATCCTCATGCGCAGGGAGAAACAAAAGTGTTTACTATGTCAGTTGCTGGGTCAATACTTCGATCACGACTTCTCTCTGCCCAGTTGATTGTTCCTTATACCTTGTTTGCAATTGACGTGACTGTCTGCCACACCGCCCCCAGCGTACTCCTAACTTTACAATAGCGCAAACGTCAGACCAGGGGGAAGGAGAACAAAGACTCTGACCACTCTTACTCAGACGTGACCAGACCCTTCGACCCTAGACTGTACACCAGGTGACTCGACCTGACAGCAGCAACACTGACCACCAGAGAGGAGAGGTAGAGGTATCACACACACACATGCAACTAGGTAAGGTGATGAGGAATTATTCTCTCCTTTGCAGCTGCCGTTGATGAAGACTCCTCGCCGCTCCGCACTCCAAAGCTCCACGCGAGGTAAGTACTTCTCCTTAGCCCCTTCCTCTTCGGCCTACCTCTCTCCCCTATCCTTATCCACCTCTCTCTTTACACCATCACCATAGCCAGCATCTTCAAGCCAGCATGTCTCCCTCACCGGCCTTACTTACGCCACCGAATCAGCAAGTGCAACGAGTCACGCTCCGATACCAATTTGCAAGGAACTTGACTGTTCACAATTGCAGGAGTGTTCAATTGCCATGCACATTCGTCATTACACAGATAGGATAGCTTCATACAAAGCCAAAGTCGATATGGAATACGAACCAGAAACTCTAGCTCATATTATCAAAGTCTTATTATACAAGAGTATCTAGAGTTCAGAGTTCAACGCCAACAAACTCCAAGTCTTCTTCTCTAAGTCATCGTCACAGGACCTAGCTCAGCCAGCGTCACCCTTCAACTCACAAGTATGGCGCAAACAGGTATGTATTCACCATATCCCACTTTATAGCCTGTCTTCTTTCTCCCTGTATTCTCTCTCAAGATCTTTGTAGTAGTTCTCTTCTCACTATGCATGCACACTCCTTATCTGCGAGGATCTACTCTGAATGCCTCGCACTGATATCCTACTACTACTAACCCCACTACTTCTACTTACTACTAACTCAGGCTGGCGCAGCTATGGCTTCCCTGCAGCCAGCGCCCAACTCATCTCCCTTCTAGCGCAGCATCTCTTGCCAACGCCCCTCCCTGCATTCTAGCGTACAAGTGCCTCAACACTTTCACACAACAATGCCAATAGGGATCTGTCTGGTGGGGAGGTTGCCTCGTCCTTTATAGTGTTGGCCCTGCTTGCGAGGGCTGAATTCAGCCTGTCTTGGGTCCTGTCCCAGTCCCAGCCTCTGTGGAGTGTGTCCTCGTACCTTTTTCTCCAGGGTCTGCTGTTGCGGCGGCCTTTAGGCCTGGATTTCGGACTTGGGGCCTGCATCTATACCCTCCTTCGGACTTAATTCATGACTGGGACTTTATCTCTTTGACTTCCTTTGGACAGACACATCTACTGCTCGAACAAACACACATTCTGCACGAACAGGCACACATACTGCATGAATAGACACACATACTGCACATACAAACATATCTCTTGTATGAACAGATATGACTTGCACCTCCCCAGAATGAACAGATGTGACTCCTATATGCAACTGTTCGTCCAGGGGCACAACTATGACCTTTGACATTGACTTTTACTTAGTTAGGATGTGACTTTTGACCCTGAGAGTATGTCCTTTGATCTGCTTTCACGAGTTGGGGCTCTGGGCGAGTGACCCCATTATGCTGAATTTGTCAAACAGGGGCTGAATCGGGTAAAGGCCCTTTTAGGACTAATCTGCTTTTTACTCCCACCGGGAATAATGTAGAATCGTGATAAACAAAAATAGAAACTGCATAGGCTTTCAGCCACTCTGCTTGAATACGGGGTAGGTCTCTATCCACCATCACTTTTATAAAATCATCCCCTACCGTAACGGTACTAGGTGCGAGTTGTTGAGGGAGAATTCCATCGTTGAAACAAGCTATGTAGCACCCTGTACGTTGTACGGGGGTTCTATCGTGCGGGCATACGGCTGTACGGCCAGGACCGTACAAAGTGACGAAACCACCCCAAAACAAAACGTAATATATATGGGGATGTAGAGCATTCCATGCTCTAGACCCACATATTTTTTATTTTTATTATTTTATCTTTTTTATATTAAAAAAAAAAAAAAAACATCGAAACACGAAAAAAAAACAAAATAAAAAAATAAAAATTGATTGATTGATAGATTGATTGATTGACTGATTGATTGATTGATTGATTTATAATTGATTGATTGATTGATTGATTGATTGATTGATTGGTGATTGATTGATTGGTGATTGACTAATTGATTGATTGACTGATTGATTGATTGATTGAATAATTAAAAAAAAAAAAAAATGATGTTGCGTTTTTTTTTGTTTTTGATTGATTGATTGATTGGTTTGTTGGTTGACGGAGGGTCGCCCCCCCCCCACACACACACGAGACGCACGCGAAAGCGTGTTT